TATAGGCAGGAGCCGCCGTGCTGGCTTGCAGCTGTGTGTTTACAGAAGAGACAGTGGAGAACTGCTCACTCCCTGGACACACAAGGACCGTGATAAGACCAGGTGAGCACACAGTGTGCCTGCACCCAAAGGAGAGAGACCTCACCAGACCTCAACCCCCTGGCACCTTGATTTCGGAATTCTAGTCTCCAGACTGTGAGAAAATAAATTTCTGTCGTTTAATCCACCCAGTCCATAATATTTTGTTAGGAGTTTAAGCAGACTAACAGAAGAATTAAATATCAGGAAGGGATCTCACATTGGCCCGTGTGCTCAGTAGAAAGGAGTCTTACACTTGGCACCATGGATCCAGAGGAGGACGGGTCCCTGAAGCAGCGACGGAGGCACTTTCTGAGACCACAACCAAAGGGCAGGTGTCAGTTTGGCATCATTTTTACCAATGCCCTGTGGTTTCCACTTTATGACAATAGTAAAAGTACGAAATATACTTTCTCTAGAGTCATTTTCCTTAGATATTTTGATTATACCAGTGACAAATTAAGCAGAGGCATGAAGTGAAAAGACACAGTAATCCCTTGACCCTGACTGGTCAACCTGGAACCACAAGAGGGGTTTACACCCTAGTATAACATAGACAGAGAATGCAGGAGGAAACTCACTTCATTACATAATTTTAGCCTGTACTAACATGATTTAATCTCAGTTATTTTTTTTTTCATTTTAGTTGACATTCTTTTACTTTGAGTGTTTAGGGTTAGTTGTGTGTAATTAGTTCTCAGTCCCAACAAAAACTCATTCTTCATACTGGCTAATTCTGTGCTTGTTTTCTGCCACCAACAAAGTCTCAGAGTTTCCCAATTCCATATGGAAACACTCATTTTTTTCTTTATTTCTTTTGTTTCTGTGGGGGTTTTTTGTTCATTTGTTCTTATTTGTTTGTTTGTTTGAGACACAGTCTCTCATTCTATCACCCTGGGTAGAGGCTGTGGCATCATCATAGCTCACAGCAACCTCAAAACTCCTGGACTCAAGTGATCCTCTTGCCTCAGCCTCCTGAGTACCTGGGACTACAGGCACCTGCCACAGTGCCCTGCTAGTTTTTTTTTTTCCCCTATTTTTAGTAAAGACAGAGTCTCACTTTTACTCAGGCAGGTCTCTTGAACTCCTGAGCTCCTGTGATCCTCTCCCCTTGGCCTCCCAGAGTGCTAAGATTACAGGTATTTGTCCTGGGTTGTTTTTTGTTTGTTTGTTTGTTTTAACCACCAATATTTTTGGTGCTCACATTTTTCATATTTGGTGGTAAACTTGTCAATATTTTAAAATGTGAACGTTTTAATGTCTTTTCAAAAAAGACTTTAAAATGCAAAAGTGAGAAAGTAGTGGTTTTGGTTTAATGTGAGAATTCTTCTCTTTCTGTATCTTTATACTAAATGTGCAGCAGCCAGCACAGCTCTTAAAAGCCTTGACATGATAGCAAAGAAGTTACCAAGAAAATTCCGTACTATTAGCAAAGCAATATTCAGTACCATTTCTCGAACAGTACTGTCATGGAAGCCACGAGCTTTCACTAAATGAGATCCGTGCATGCCGTGGCCACACCACATATGCAGGTTCATGCTCAGACACCACTTATAACTCGACTGGTTTGGCTCCAGTGTTAGTTTTACCCTGAGTCACGGTGTGAAAAACATTGCCATCAATCCATGAATCACATACAGACACATACCATGTATCGTCCTTCTCGATTAAAAATGAAAACAATCAAATATTGGATTTTACCCACGATCCTCTACCAGGAGTCTTTAATCTAAGTTACATGGAAGACATATTGCCAGCACGGGATTCTGAGGGCTGGGGTTTCAGTCTCAGCTCTGCCACTAAGGAAACTTGAGAAAAATCACTCAATTTTCTAGGTCTCAGTTTTTCTCATCTTTAAAGAAAATAAAATAAAATAGGTAATCTACAAGATCCTTTCTTGCTATAGAATATTTCTCTGTTTGACACAAAATCCTAACTCTACTGACACCATTACCTACCAGAATCCTTTCTGGCTTCTCTCCTGGGATGGATTGAATTCATGTCCTTTATGTCCCCTTTATGCCAAGCGTCACACTCTCTGCCACTCACAGTACTCATCTGACTCTGAGCTGTGGCCTCCTGGGGAGCAGGCAGCTAGCCTTTTATGTCCTGAGTTACAAGTAGGGCCTGATGGACGTATAACAAGTCAGCCAACACTCCCTGCACCACACTTTAACAAAGTGTTTCCAGTATGTTTTTGTATAGAAAACAGCAAATAAAATTCCTCACTCATCTTATTTAAATAGTTGAATTGGAGGAAAATACGTTCTTACTATCTTAAAAGTGAAGGAAATATTCAAAAGTAATTCAAAATCTCAGCCATGCTTAATGCAGCTGTAAGTGCTAATACAGGGCAGCCATAAGGTTTGTGTGCAATTTAAAATGCCACACGAACTTTATGGCTACCCTGTATAACATTTATTTTAAGTTTAATGAAATTCTCTTGAAAGGCTCATAGACAAATATAATGTACCACTGATTTTAGAATAACTCATTCCCTTATAAACCACCATGTCTGTAGGTTTCAGCATCTTGTGTGGAAAAAAGGATTACATTGAAATAGCAATATATGTCCTTAAGTATTCTAATCACGAAAGGACGCTGGATATTACCAAAAGCTTTTTCTGTACCAATTGAGAGAATCATATGGTCTTTATTTTTTATTTCATTTATGTGGTGATCATATTTATGGATGCATGTACACTGAATCAATCCTGTAACCCTGGGATAAAACCAACTTGATCATGGTGTATAACGTTTTTAATGTGTCACTGTATTCTGTTTGCTAGGATCTTATTGAATATTTTAGCATTGATATTCATTAATAACATTGGTCTATAATTTTCTTCCTTTATTAGGTCCTTTCCTGGTTTGGGGTTTAGGGCCCTGGCAATTGCAGCAAAACCAAAAATAAATAACTGATATCTGATCAAGCTAAAAAGCTTCTGCATAACTAAGGGTACTACAAGCAAAGCAAACAAACAGCCTTCAGAATGGGAGAATATTTTTGCATGTTATGATTCCAACAAAGGTCTAATAACCATAATCTATACAGAACTCAAGAAAAGGGCAAAAGCCCATTTCTATGTGGGCAAGAGACTTGAACAGAAACTTCTCTGAAGATGACAGCCGAATGGCCAACAAACACATGAAAAAAATGCTCATCATCTTTAATCATCAGAAAAATGCCAATCAAAATCACTTTGCGATGTCACCTAATTCCAATAAGAAGAGCCCACATCACAATGTCCCCAAACTGCAGATGCCTGTGAGGATGTGGAGAGAAGGGAATACTTTTACACTGCTGATGAGATTGCAAACTAATACAATCTTTGTGGAAAGAAATATAGAGCATTCTCAATGAACTAAAAGTCGACCTTGCATTTGATATCCAGAAGAACAAAATCATTTTACTACAAAGACATTTGCACAGGAATGTTTACTGCATCTCAATTCCTAATTGCCAAATTGTGGAAGCAGCCCAAATGCCATCAACCCATGATGGATTCACCAATTGTGGTATATAGATCGTGGAATACTATTCAGCCATTAAAAAAGATGGAAACATTTTTAATGAAGGAGTTCAAGACCAGTACGAGTAGGAATGAGACCCCATATCCAGGAAAAACAGAAAAATTAGCCAGGTGTGGTGTGGTGGGCACCTGTAGTCCCAGCTACTGAGGAGACTGAGGCAGGAAGATGATTTGAACCCAGGAGTCTGAGGTTGCTGTAAGCTAGGCTGACATCACGGCACTCTAGCCTGGGCAACAGAGTGTCATCCTGTTTCAATAAATAAATAAATAAAATAGGAATAAAGTGTATGAGTGAATAAGAAATTCTACAAATTGTTGAAAGCATGTGTGTGGAATACTCTTGCAGAAAAATAAAAATGTCACCTACTTGGACAAACCAAAGCAATCTGCTATTGTCTAAAAAATACAGATTTTAGAATCATGCAGGGGTGGGTTCAATCCAGGCCCTAGCTTATACATTATTTGGCAACTAGCTGTCTGAATATCAGAACCTCAAACTCCTCACGGGTGAAAGATGACACTGCCCTGTTTGTGGATTATTAACGTTTAGTAAGATTCTTATATGTAAAATATGCTGAAGGGTCTGGCTAAGTGGAATAGGCCCTCAAGATTGGCGGTAGATATTACGAATCAGTGGACGAGATTTTCTCAGTTTCTCTTTTTAGTGAGGACACTTTTTTCTCATGAAAATAAAGTTACAGTGACTGACAATACACCCTGTTCCCACTATCTGGTGAGTTACTGAGACAATCCATCAGGAGAAGGGCTGGAGAAAGCACTGACACAAGTTATACCAGGGAGCGGGTTCTGAAGGGAAGAAGCCGTTTGATGTAACTCAGCACACTGGCACCTGCAGAGACAGGTGCATCGTTTCTAAAAAAAATAATCACATGATTTTTCTGGCTCTCTCGCTTCTTTTCCTATCAGAGGTAGCCACACTCGTGTGTGCGCTAAGCTCTGACAACCAATGGAAGGGGTGTGTGTGTGTGTGAGTTTGTGTGTGAAGGAGGGTCTAAAGAGAGTTAGTAATGCCAAATAGGCAACCAGCTCAATTACCCTTGCCAGCTCTAAAGAAAATATCCATATAACATAATGTCATGGCAGTATTATAAACTCCAAGAACTAACTATATCAGAGTACAGTTTATAGTTTGTTTTTCATTTTGGATCTTAAATGATGAAGATTCAAAGTTTTACTCATATAATCAGGATTCTTTTCCCTTCAGAAGTAAATGAAATATAAATAAAGAGAAAGAAAACGATCTCACTTTACACTGATGGGAATTTGCTGCTGCAAAATGGAATAACTCTTCCACACCTCGACTAAGGGAGCATTGACGTGCTCACTAACTCTCCAGATACCAGGAGAAAGTGGATCTGGACGACATACCCGTTTCCTCAGGTTGCAAGTCAGAGTGAGATTCCTCGAGAATGAGTTTGCAAAAGCTGTGTAGAAGTCCAGGACCTTGAGCAGGGCTTCCCGCTTGATGATGTGCAGGTCACAGTAGGTCAGCGCACGCACGTTGGCACAGGCATGAGCAAGAGTGGTTTCCTTCCAGAAGATGTCTCCAAACACATCCCCCTTCCCTGGAAGACAGGGTACGGCACAGTCAAGTACCTGGAACAGTTCTTGTATTTCACAAATATTATATTTTAATCATTATTGTTACTCAGTTTCACACACGACATTAATCACATAGAATGATTTAGCGGTGAGAGTATGACCCTACCTATATACACAAACCAGTGTATGATACTTCCAGATACTATAAAAAGGAACACCATGCTGAATTCAATTACTGATGAAATCTGGAGGGGCATGAAGGAAATGGGCTCCAAGAGAGGAGCCAGAAACCTTATTTTAATAAACAATGTCACTGTCATCATCCACCGTAACCTTTCCTATTCACCAGAAGGAGGAAAGGTGCCTTCTGAGTTTCATCTTTTCCTCTGGTCCTTCTAGGGACGATGACAATAAAATGTAATATGCAAGGGTCTGCTGCACAGGCTTGATCAATCTAAGATGATTCAACACACAGTAAGCATACTTTTTTCTGTAACTAAGTATTGTGCTCCAAGCAGACTAAAACTTGCCAGGACTTAGTTCCCCAAGGACACCCTTCTCTCTCTACAGACCACCTTTACTTGGGGCCTCCAGGGCCAGCCCAAGATGTCCCCATCCACAATTCCAAAGCTTACGGAGCTGAGTTGGGTAAAACACAGAGCCAGATTTGTTAGGCCATAATCAAAGGTAGATGTCTTTTTAAAATTCTGGAAATCTGGGCCGCACCTGTGGCTCAAAAGGGTAGGGCACTGGCCCCATATGCTGGAGGTAGGTTCAAACCTAGCCCTGGCCCAAAAAAGAAAAAGAAATAAAATTCTGGAAATCATGGGAGTCACCCATTTACTTCAGAGCACCATCCACTGGTAGCCTGAACTCAACCATGGACCACTAAGAGTACTGAGTTACCCAAATAAAGGGAATCAGGAAGAATCAAAGGTTGGCGGTCCGAAAAGGTTTTTGGGCTAAGGCAGTTCCACAGGAGACCCTGGCTTCTGAGGTACAGTCAACTGCGATCCTTATTTGATTTCTGTAGAATTGCGACTGAATAAAAGACAGAGGGAACATTCCAGTCAAGAAAAGTCTCCCGAAACTTTTAGGAAGGCTAAGAAGATTTGATACGCTCTCAATGATACGCTCTTTCTGCACTCAGAGCACAGGAATAAACAAATTTCAGAACTAAGAGGAAAAACAGAAGACAGACAGCATATCTATAATCCCTCAGGCCAGTCAGGCCAGAAGAAAGAAAAGAAAAGAAATTCATGAATTTCATAAATCATCTCTGTAATCAATGAAATGAGAGAAAGAGAGAGACAAAGAGAAGTGACAACACAGGCTGGTGAGGCAAATGAGATGACAGGTTCTGCGCCCACCTAGACAACAGAAAGCCCCTGCAGGGGTCCTTAAACTTTTTAAACAGGGGGCTGGTTCACTGTCCCTCAGACTGTTGGAGGGCTGGACTACAGGCCCCTGGACAAGTTAGCTGCTAAGCAGGACAGGCAGAGGTGGCAAAAACACCCAGCAGGCTGGATAAATATCCTAGGCAGGCTGCATGTGGCCCGTGGGCCATAGTTTCAGGACGCCTGCCTTAGAGAGCCATAGTCTATGGATCAACTGTAAGAGACACTCTAGCACAGAAGGTAATAGGCCCATGACTGAGGAGGTGGCTAAAACCACCATGTAGTTAGCATAATTGTCATAAGGGATATTCAATTAATCTTAAACAAATTTATTTTTTCCTGGATGCTCCAAAAATTCCTTTTACTTAGTGACACAACGTACTCAATTAACTGTCTAATAGCCACATACTTGTACAAGGAAGCAAGATTAGGGATCTTGTACCCAAATAAAGTCTCAAGGGTCATACAGCATCACACTGACTGGAGGAAGACTTAGCTATAGTAATTTTAAAAATAAACCCTGCATCCTCTTATACATATAAATTTCATAAATCTTCTTTGAAATAGCAATCCCAGTTACAGGTATTTATTCTAATTGTATAATGATAAGTGCCAAATTTACTTATAAAAATGCTCACTGTATCAAATCACACATACAGTACCATTTCATTTTATGAATTCTATCCCCACACACTCAAACACAAATACACACACACAAAATATGGGAGTAAACCCATCAAAATGATAGGTTCTCTCTGCATTACTGGACAGTGTACAGGTTTTGTTTTCTCTAAAATTTTATGCATATTGCTTTGTTAACAGAAGAGATTAACAACTGTTATATTATCACAGTCTCTGGTACTATAAAAATAACAAGTTGAAAGGGCTGGTTTGATCTACTTCTTGTTCCTCTTCTTCTCATTATTGTTAAGTCTTTCTACACTGGTTTTTCCTTGAAGAGATGAAGTAAAGATTACATTTCTCACTGATTCATTTCTGAGATCCTTTGTCAAATTACTGATTATAGTGCAATCTCTGACCCATTTAAGAGTGCTGTTCAACCATTCAGTTTTCATAAATGGCATACTTTAAGAATAATGACTTGGACTTAGTAATTTCACTTCTAAGAATCAATCAAAAGATTAGAACACATGTAATATTCATTGTAAGTATTAATCATAACCCTAGAATGGAAAAAAAAAAAGCTATGTCCACCAACTATGGAAACCACACGAACAGGCAAAGTATTGGTCCATACAGAATGGAAACAAGTATTAGAATGACATAAAAAATGCTCACTGTTTACCTTACAATGTTAAATAAAAGACAGATGCAAAGAATAATATGATTATGGCTACTTTTAAAAATATATAAAAATGAAATTGAAGTTCTAAGACTATAAGAATTATTAAGAAACCTTTGTATTAAAGTCTCTTGATAGAACCAAAGTATATTACATTTTATAGTTATATGTTATCATAGTACATAATGTTATTATTAATTTATAAGTTGATAAAAATTCAACCAAAAGGCAAAAAGGAATATAAGACTAAAAGAAAATACATTGGATAATAATAGCAACCTGCTTCAAGTGGTGTGTTTATGAGGTTTTTTCTTCCTTCTACTCTGTTTTTTAAATTTTTCTGTAGTGAATCTCCATAACCATTATTTTTAAAAAATTACAAAATATTTTCATAGATTTCTTTCCTTCCATTTTTTAATAAAACTGAATTAATAAAACATATATATAGATTTCTAGAACAGTAAATAAATATTCTTTGATTGTTAAATACATTCAGTAGGTAAAATACACTTAATATATAAACGTAGTCACTTACCAACATAAAGTATTTTTAATTGCAGAGGTATTCAAATATCTTTTATATCACTTTTTAACCGTAACTGGAGAAATTAAAATTCTTACCCAATTTCTAACAAGTTTTAAAATTTAAATTTATCTATGCTTTTAGTATACTGTGGAAATACAAAGGCTATAATATGAAAAGATAACAACAAATTAGAATAGAAACTCAAGATAAATTCTATGCACTGCTCCTCCGTCAAAGCATAATTAACAAATGTGATTAATCTGCTCCTGGCGTCAGGATTCACTTTATACAACAAGCAATAGTGTTTGTTTCACTACAAAGAATAATATATAAGTTAGATATTAATGTAATCAACCATTTCCAAATGTGTTTGTTTGGTCAGCATTGTATATCACCTAATAGATATTTGATTTACAACAAACTTTTATGACTTTTGGAAGAAAGTTATCTTGTAAACTAATTAATTTACCCTCCATAGCAAAGCTGGTTAATTCCTCCTTTAAGCATAGTATACATATTTAGACTAAGTTATCTGCAGAAATCATAGGCTCTGGATATGTGGGCTTATGCAGGGAATATCCAATAAAGAGGCTTCCTTTTCTTTACTGCAAAGATTTTTCACACTTTCAGGCTTGGTTGGGTACTCCCGTTCATCTTCGTGACTAAACATTTGATGCTGGTTTTTAGGTCAGCTCCTGCCGGGTGAAAGTAGTTTCAGCTGTAAACATTTTAGATCTTGAGAAAACTAACCTCCCCCCAAAGTCCCAAAATTAGGAGAAAAGCTCACACTAAACATGAAAGTTGTTGTTTGGTCTATTTCTATATTCTCAGTTCTTTGCATCTAGTCTTATGAAGTCTTTCACTGCCAAACCACAGGAAACTGAATTGTAAAAGAGAAGTTCATGTTAAAAATCCACACAGCAGAAAACTGTAAAATTTAAAGATAGAGACAGAGTTAAACAACATAATTAAAGGAGTAATACAGACCACGTTTGGGGATTCTGGTCCCGCCAGGGGCTGGTTTTATAGCCAGAGTTTTGTATAAATATCAGATACATTATTTGCTGAGTTAATGATATGGATAAAATAAATGCATAAAAATTATCACTGTTATTCATCATTAGGAACATCTAACTCGTATAGTTAGACTTTGAGGACTTTAAGACCTCAGTGAGGAAGTAACTGCAGCTGTAGCAGAAATAGCAAGAGAATGAGAATTAGAAGGGAGGCCGGAAGTCATAACTGAGGTGCTGAAACATCAGGGTAGAACTACGGAGCCTTTGCTCCTATGGATGAGCACAGAAAGTGGTTTCTGGAGATGGAATCTACTCCTGTGAAGGTGCTGTGAACATTTTTATAATGACAACAGAAGACTGAGAATATTCCATGAACTTAGTTCATCAGGCATTGACAGGGTTTGACGGTATTGACTCTACTTTTAGAAGAAGTTCTGCTGTAGTTAGAATATTATTAAACAGCAGTGCGTGCTGCCGAGAATGCTTTCGTGAAAGGAAGACTCAATCGATGTGGCAAACTTCATCGTTGTTATGCAGGAAATGCCATAGCCACCCCATCTTCTCCAGCCGCCACTCTGACCAGTCAGCAGCCATCAATACCAAGGCAAGACCCTTCACCAGAAAAAGATTAGAACTTACTCAGATGGTCATTAGCATTTTTAGGAATAAAGTATTTTCCAACTATGACATACGCCTTGTTTTTCTAGATATAATCTGTTGCATACTTAATGGCTACATTATACAGTAAATATATCTTTTACATGCACTAGGAAATTTTTCC